GAGAGGGTGGGGGGGGGGGGGGGGGGTTGGACAGGTTTGGTCAAATAAACATGAGGTTTGAAGGATGCAGCATGTGTGTTATTAAGGTCTATACAATTCCCTTCCCAGACAACATACCCTTGGTCAGTAGTGATTCGGAGTAGTAGGTACATTAAAGAGATGCAAGCAAAACCAAAAAAGAAGAGAGTCACGTGTCAGTTTCCTGCCAGGTCAGCATTTGTTTAAAAGGTTTCCTTTGTACACAGCTAATATACACACGTGCTTCCCAGCTCACCAGCTCTGGATGCATCAGCTCTTGAGCATCAGAGCGTACGATATGTTTTTCCCCCTCCATTTTCCGAAAGGGAAAGGGAAAGAAAGAAAAAAAAAAGTTCCAGCTAGTTCATAAGGACTATTTACAGCAGAGAACGTGGTCCGTTTTGAGCAGTGAAGGGAGCTGGGGGCCGGGGCCGGGAGGAGGCCTTGCTCATTCAAATGCTGCTGTGGTCCCCTGGAAGGTGAGCTGGGACGTCGGGATGAGAAGGGGAGCACTGAGTATTGCTGTATCGTGCGAGGTATAGTGTTCAGTTCAGGCCTGATGGCACTTGAGACACATTTGTTCCAGTGAAATGCTACATTCAGACAGGATCCCCTTCTGCCCCAGCTGGGTTAGAGCCCTTTTCGGGATTTTTTTCTTTTTTTTTTCCTGAAGGCAAATCTTGAATGAGCCTCAAGGTTGCACCCTCACTGTATTGCTCAGGAGTTGGGAATAGCAAGCACTTAAACTCCTCTCTCTCTTTCCAAGGATTATGGCCGGTGGTACCTGGAAAGGAAGAGGAAACAGGAGGCGTCACACCTGGATTTGGGGGCACGGGACCGCAATGACACAGTAGGGATGCTGCTGAACGGCTAGGACTGTCTGCCTGGCGCGTGAAATCGCATCACGCTGCGAATGACTTCACAAGAGCTCTGCCGCCCAGGGCTCGCCCGCCTCAGCAGGGACTGACAGACTCCTGCCCTGCCAAGATGATCTTTGTCGCAATCCCAGCCTTGCAGGACCGCAGCCAAGACTCCTGCTCAGGCTCCCTGACCATTTGGGAGAGAGACAGTGTGTAAAAGGGAACTGCAAAGGGGTTTTGTGATGTGCATATCTGTTGAAAAACCATCGCTGCCCTTCGCCCAACGCCACCTCGCCTTGTGCTTTTCATCGGGAGATCTCACAGCGCTTCACAAAGCAAAGAATCACGATGCCCATTTTATAGCTGTGCAAATGGAGGCACAGAAGGGCTCATCCAAGTTTTGTTCTCAGCTCTGCTACTGACCTGCCGGCTAAACCCAGGCCTCCTGCATTGCAGTGCTTTATTCACTAGATCAGCGGTGGCCAAGCTGTGGCAGGCACGCCCCTATGCGTGGCATGTGGCAGAGCAGAGAGGGGACATGGCAAACAGAGAAGGGAGGAGAAAGCAGAGCAGTGGATCAGGCAGGGAGTGCAGGGTGGGAAGCAGAAAGCAGAGCAGCCATTTGGGCAAGGGAAGGGGATCAGAGCGGCACTCAAGGAAGATGCAGGGCTAATTTGTGGCACCTGCCAAAAAGGCTGCCCCCCTGCACCAGGCCATGCTTTCTCCTGACCTACTAGCACCTACTAGCTGTTGCTCGCTCTCAGTGACACCGTGGTAGAAGCCCACGTGTAAAGGTAAACTGCACAACATCCCATTACCAAAGTCCTCTGAACCCTATCATTGACCGGTAGGTCCAACCCCCAAAACTCCCTCCCCCCAATGCAGGAAGTAAAGAAACAGTTGAAAAAGCCACAATTGATCAATTCTCTGATGGTTTGCAAGCTTGCTCCTCAGCATTGCACCTCAGCTTCGTTACCCCGCACATCCCAGTACATCATGAAGATGATCAGCGGCAGCGGAGGGCTGCAAGAAGGCACATCGAACTCACCGGGTGAACTGTTTGCTTTCTTCGTGGACCTCCATCTCGGAGCTTTTAAACTCGTTCAGCTCCTTGCGAATGGCAGCCTGCGTTACAGGAGAGAAATTACTTTCAGCTCCCCTTGACCGTGCTTCTCCCCACTCCCCTTCCCCAACTTCAGGCTGTTAAAATGCGTCTAGGATGGCCAATCCACACTGTGCTGGTAACCAATTTATGGCTAAACGAAGAGTACACTTGCTTTTGAAATGGGCAGGGCTGAGCACAGTGCCTTGGGGGAAGAGGGAACTCGTGCATGGGCCTTGTAGAGGGAGAGAAGTTGGCAGGGTGCAGGAAGCTGGCACTGCGATGGGAGTGGGCACTGAGTGAAGCAGTACTTAAGCAGGTTGGGAGCATGCTGGTGGGCTGGAAGAGGTGGAGGAAGCAGAGCAGCAGCACGCTGACTTCGCTCACTTCCCTTAACCCAGGGCTCCAAGGGCTGAGAAAAGGACCCTCCTCCTCCATTACCTTGTCAGCAGGTGTTAGTTTGGTCCATGGTTTGTCTGCTCGCCGGTCGTAGTCCTGAGCATCCGTCACTTCTACATATTCATGAAACCTCAGGATCTTCCTGGCTTGCAGTTCAGCCACCGTGGGCCTCTGACTAAGCTGAAGGCAACAGAAAGCAAGTTAGCAGTGTGCATCTCAGCTGTGCCCCAGCGTTTCTACGGAAGGACATCGCTAAACCAGGTGTGGATGCAATCGAACACAAAAAGCACCACCCCCCCCACAAGGGCTGCTAATTACCCCATCAGTCAAGCCAGCCTACTGGCAATTTAACAAGCCCCGTGCACCAGGATGGCATTTCAAGTGAGCTACAAGGGTGGACAGACCTCAGCACAGCAATGCTCTCTCCCTGCAGCTGTAGGGAGCCAACTTCATTCTTATACAGAAGAGCCCTGCTCACTCTTCCAGAGAACAGCAACACATATACAAGACCCATGTCATATCTCCTGCAGGACATTTCCTCCCAGCCACATGTAAGGCAGCAAGCATAGCTTATCCCCCCGCAAACTAGAATCACCCTGACTGAATATTTAATTCTATTTATACGCAGGAGAGGCAAGCATTTGAATCGGAGACGACCTCTCCATTTAGTTCCAGCCTGTGGCTTTTAATTTAAAACCCAGCTGCACGAAGTTAGGCTCCTAAATCCATATTTAAGGCACCCAAATATAAAACAGGGTTGCTTTGTTCTGATGCCCGTGGACAATAATAGCTAAATACAGCTGCAGCTCCAGTCAACAGATACTACAGCGTGAATCCCTGGACCGATCCGACAACTTCCAAGCTTGTTACTGCCAGGGGGCATCCGGGCAACGCAGCAGCCCCGTGACTTCTCCACCCACCTAGGTACCAATGAGACGCTTAATGCCGCCACCATCTGCAGCAGCTCGGACAGATGGAGAACACAGCATGGAGCGCGGCAGTACCTTTCTGGTGAGCCGGCGTTTTATCTCTCGCTTCTCAGCTTGACGGTCAGCCTCATTTTTCTCTGGCAAGGGAAAAAACAAGTTCTCTTCAAGCAACAGCCATGCTGCTATTTTGTTAAAGCGCTTTCAAGACCCGAGCAAAGAAAATGAAGGTGCGGACAAACATTTCTCACAGCTGCGCTCAATCTGCTGTAACTTTCATCTGTCTGCTCGTATCCTGCGGGAAGCGGATGTTAAACCAGGACAGCTTACCCCAGAATGAAACATGGTTAAGTTCTTGTGGGGTAGGAACAGACTAAACAACGCTGCTAAGCAAGCATCTGCTGATCATTCGCAACCAAGTGCCCTCGCTTCCCTGTCCATGCCCTTAGCTTTCATATCATATACACGCTATATGCAAGAATAGCATACTCATATGCAAGCTATACAAGAATACAAGCTATATACAAGAATAGTGCACTAGCTTGTATATAGCTTTCATATCAGTACACCATTCTTGTATACAGCTTGTATTCTTGTATATAGCTTTCATATCAGTACACCATTCTTGCATCCTACATCTACCCCAATAAGCCTACATACAGCTAATGGTCCAATCCAGACCTCCTTATTCAATCAGAACTACTGATAAAGAGTGACAAAATGGGGCATATCTCAGGATACTTTACTAGTTAAACCGCATCTCTCAGGTTTTTGACAGTCTTTAAAAGCATCCATATGACTGAAGACTGCTAAATATGGAGGACACTTTAAAACTTGGGCATTTTTGAAATTGCCTCCTACAAGCTCTTTAAAGAAAAAGTCGCAAGGACAAGGGAATTTCCCTTCAAGTCACTTCTCCTGACATTTTCCTTTTATAAAGTTAATTTTTCCATATCTTGTTCCTCTTCGCAGCATATTTGCTCTGGGCTTTTACCGTTCCATTCACCCTGGACAGCAGCAGATGGACCGCAGTGGGCTTAGGATCACAATGCTGCAAGGCCTAGGGCGTGGATACTGGTTTACACCCAAAAATACTTGTTTCTTTAGAAAATGAGTCAAAGATTTGATGCTTTTCATTTAACCCAGTCCCTTGCGTATGAGTTCTGAGGAGCGTCCTCTCAACTATACCCAAGTGCTGACGCTGTTTCCTTGGGCAATTTTAGACGAGGAGTTTGCAGAAGGGATACGGAGCTGCCTCGGCTCGGTTTACAAGGGGTCGCCCCAAGTCCTAGCTGAATGCCCCCACAGCCTCCCCCCTTGCCCCTAACCACTCGCAACCACCCCTTGCCTCTAAGCAGAAGCATGGCTTTTGCTACGGGACATTGGATCTTGTGGGTCCCCATTCATAACGCACAACTCAGGCCACTTCTGACTGGTGACCGTGTACCTGGGTCATCTAAAGGATGTGTTGTCATGCACTGATGTAAGCAAAGCAGAGTCCACCTTGTCACTGCAGCCCCCAGCACAGACCTTGGTCTGTTCTCAGCTGTACCGAGAACTGATCGATTCTCAGTAGGTCACTTCCTAGGGAGCTACAGAGAAGTGTTACTCACGCTGAAGTATGTTCCTTTGCTCCAGCTCTTCAGCTGTCGGTCTCTGACTGAGTCGCCTAAACAAGAGGAAGCAAAAAAAAAAAAAGAGTCCACCGTGAGAGCTGCCCAGGTATAGCCCGTATGACACGATGCAAACATCCTCAGGAAACGTAGTCATTTCAACCTCCATGCTCTCCTTTCTCTGCTTCTCACTACCGCTCGAGTGCCCTGCATGTCCTAGTGTGCCCCCACTCACTAGCACAGCTCCCCACTCGCACCCCTCTCGCGGGGTGAGGGCAGCTCGCTGGGACAGCGCAGTTAGTGTGTTGGACTGAGTGTGCATTGCTGACGTTTCAGACAAGGCAGCCTGTGCCTGTCTCCATGCTCTCTCCGCCTGCTGTCCCTCAGTGCCTGTGAGCGAAGAGGAGCAGGACGAGGAGGCAGAGCTGGTTGCAGTCAGGAGACAGGAGGCTGGACTGCTATGTGCAATGGTAAGGCAATTCTCTTTCTTGAGTCTCGCACGCCAAAACATCTCTGCCAGGGGAACTAAGGAGGATGCGAGAGGATCTGGCCAGGCCCAACAATGCTCCTGGGTGCACCCCTCCCTGATTTAACTCCACTTTCACTCTGCCAGCTTCAGCCCTTGGGTGTATTTGAGGAGGGGTAACTAACTCCAACATCAGGGTCATCCAGGAGCCTCACCCAGCAAAGTGCAGCAAGCGAGAAGACAAGTGCAAGTGGCAGGCAGCCTGAGCGGGTCATATCAGCATTCAAGAGCACCCTGGGACATTTGCTCTCACTCTTCAGGACTGGAAAGTGCCTGTAGAGGAGTCTGATGGGTGGCTATTGGGATAGGAAGAGTTGCCTCCAATTCAAATGGGCACCCCCTTCCAAGGGGAAAAAAAAAAAACAGAGACATGCTCCCCTAGGATCCCAA